TACATTTATAATATGCACATAAAATGCAGTACAGGCATGTTCGAACGGTTTTACAGATTGTTTGAATATTATTTCCTAAAAGTGTGTGCCATGTTTATGTCATATTGAATCACTTTCATGAGTGCAGGAGCACTATAGTGCGTGTCAGAAACGGTCGCACAGTGCAATATATTTTTCGTTGCCATTTCGGGCTGTCAATTATTATTACAAGCAGGCAAATGATCTATAATACTGTAAAATGACTAATTTTCGCTGGGTTTAAATTTCGCTGATTTACCATTTCAGGAATATTCAGAGGGTTTTAAATTCACCGTTTTATCATTTCGATAATGTGTTCTATGCTAAATTTTACATATTCACTGGGTTTTAATTTAGCGCATTTTCCAGTCAGCGAAATAAGCAAAATTAAAACCCAGTGAATAATTAACCCCTTTACAGTAATAAGGTAATTAGAGAAGACAGCAAAGTATGTACTTGTGCAGTACAGGTAGACATCGACCTCTCGTATCTGTGGCTGATACAATTGTCTTTGTGCATAGTAACCTCATATCGTGGTGACCATGCCATCTTAATTTATTTCATTCACAGGCAATCAGACAAACCTGTGTGTCCCGTAAATGATTGCAAAGAACCTGTAAATCGTGAGGAAATTGTCAGAGACCATGCTGCAAGACGAGACGTACTATCATTAATAGTTTTCTGTAACTTTAAAAGTAAAGGATGCAACATTCAAGTAAAGCTTAAGAACTTAGAAAACCATCTTCAAGAATGTGTCTTTGCAACTATTGACTGTATTCATAAAACTCTTGGATGTACTGCTCAAGTTGAAAGAAGATTTTTGGCTGAACATTTAGAAACAGAATGTCTCTATAGTGCAGTAAAATGCAAATTCTGTGAAGAACCGTTTTCAAAGGATGAGCTAGATGTAAATATTTTTTTAATCAAAAATTTTGAAAAAAAAAAAAAATTTTCCATTTGTTAATTACCCAGTACTTGTCTTAAAGGGGAACTGCTCAATCTCATGGATTGCACCACAGGCTCATGGGTAATTAACTCTGCCTCTGTCCACTAAGTAAATGAATGCTTATTATGCTTGCTTACTCAAACTGTGATTGACAGGCATTTTGCATTCATTAGCCACCATCGACTGAAAATAACAACATTTATACATCAAAAGCCCAACCAGATGAGTGTAATCGCTAGCGTACATATTCATGCCCCTGTAGAAATGTATTTGGAATCACAGCTTGATCTCCAAACATCGTAAATGGCACATTTCACGGAGCTCCCGCCACGATGTGAGCGGCTTGGTTCAGATTAGCATACTAATTGCGTTGGCCATCTTGCCCCTATTTATAGTATCGGTTCCCCTTTAAGTGTGTCACTCATATAACAGTGTAATCTGATTTATTTACATAGCAACATGTACGTAGATGCCCAAAGGCACCAGTATCCTGTCCCAATGGGTGTGAAGTAAAGGCTATCCCACGAAATCAGGTAAAGTACTCAGACGCTAAAGTTGCTCTCCCACTTTGCAAATCTATGAGGTACCA